ACCACAAAATAGTTTACCCAGTTTACTTAGATTTTAAACATATTCGTAGCCATTAGTTTGCTGGAATAGCGCTGACACAAAGGACTAATTACAAAAGTACGTCAACCATTATCTTGGCAACTGATTTCTTACAATTATTTCACATTAAGCACAGAATCACCCTACGGAAGTCCGTGTCCGAGTAAGTACATGTTCTTCATTGTTATCATATAAGATTGTGACTGTTGACATGGATTTGTAGTGGGGGTAAGAACAGACGAGCTAACGTTCCACAACAATAACATAACGTGTGTCAAACATGCTTGCTGCATGCACGATCCAAGGTCACCCCACACATCTGGGTTTCTTACACAACTCGGCAGCCAGCGGGTGCATTGATCTTATCTAGTTGCATTATCATCATCGCCTTGATAATCCACAGATATACAGAAACCTTTTCGTGTAGAGTCACATCATTAAGGAGTGGTAAGCGGTACGTCGGGTGATGTCAAGGCTGACCGTTGTATTATGTATTAATGCGCCACTGTGATCATGAGAATGGACAAAATGCATTGATTCGATGCTAAAAAGGTGAAATTGTAGGGTGTGTAAAAAACAGATTACTGCACTCATGCCTGTCAGATACCATTTATCTTACAACGAGTTTATTTCAAAACCTCTAACGAGCGAAAGCACACGTGTGTAGTAATCTCAATATACCTACTCGTTTGAAAGCGGATCTAAATCGCTTTTGCTCTTTAAATACGTCTTTAAACAACTCGTAAAATAAATGGTATCTGACAGACACTTGTATGGTAATCTCTATACATCAACAGAAATCGTGTGTAACCTTTTCAATTCTGTTTATTCATGTATAACTGTGTGCCGACAGATCCATAGTGCAGAACGCATGACAATGTGGAACTGGTTAAGATTTTTACAAGGATTCATTTCTTAATATGGCATGGTATATTAATAGAGATATATTTCATAGTGTTTTTGTTCAATATATTTTTTATTTACAACATACAACTTAAACCATTAACATGGATCTAAATTGTGCCAAAGATATATGCATTTTTTTATATTTATATCAGTTAAATAATTTTCTGTATTTGCTTTTTAAAACATCTATAATATTCACATTTACTAGAATATATCTAGAACAGATCTCAATGTTTGACAGTACATGTAAAAAATGACTGTCTTAGTTTCGATATAAACATAGAATGATTCTCAAAGAAACATTGGTTGTCCCAAATATAGCCATACCCACATTTATAAAGTAGAAATTTATATTCCCAATTTTATCTTTTTAGCTTGGATGGCTGCATTACACCTACGTTTGTTCCATGATAATTAACTTGAAAGTATCGCACCAAGCGATTTATAAGAGGTTTCAGTTTGAAGTAAATGCCCCCGAAAGTACCACTTTTCATTATTTGACAGTGTATTTCCTTTGCTGAATACACCATTTTTGTCCTATCCAAATTAACATTAAGTTTCCACATATCGCAGTGCAGTTCGATCTTATTTATCAAGTTTGTACCTTTTACAGTACTTGAGAACATAATTCTTTCATCTGCAAATAGTAATATGAATATTTTTTGTATAATTACAGGTTGTAATTGTATACCATCATCATAATTTCTTTTGGTTGGAGCTCCAAGCTCATTAATGAAAATAACTAACAAAAAAGGGCTTAATACACATCCTTGGTGTACACCATGATAAACACATGATTTGACTTCCTTATGAAACCTACATAACAATTTTCCCATTTCATTACTGACATCATGTAAATTAAATAGATACCCTCAGTTGCCCCTACACACTAATCGAATGCTTTAGAGAAGTCTACAAATATAGCATACAGTTTTTCATTATAAGAGCCTGGAGAAAAAAATATCATCAGTGGTAGTCAAAATCCTTATCAAGGGTGTCCGTCTACAATACCAATAATGCTAATAAATATCTCACTGAATATACTGGTACATTGAATCCCCTATAGCCTCTGTCCTTTTATTCTGCAAATAGCTTTATACTTGTTTTTTTCGAATCAGTATATATTTAGCAAGTGCATCTTTATCCTTTAGTTTCCTGAAATGGTTTAAAAGAGTGCATCTTTCCTTTTTTAAATAATTCACATTCCCAGTCAAACCACAGTTCCATTTTATCAAATATCAAAATATCAAAATTTTCACACAAGTAAAATATATCTATGGTGCTCATGATGTAATCAATAATACTTGCCCCGGCATTGCCAACAAATGTCAAGTCACCTTTCCCGAAATCAGGTCCATGTGTACATGTGGACATGTGTACATTTAGAACAGAACATAAATTAATAAAATATTTTCCAAAATTATGAAGAACTGTACCAATTAAATAAAATATGTCTAAGAGAAACTCCCAGTATGAAGTATCCTGGTCATGGAGATATTCAAGTATATCATCCTCCACATTATCTGGCTCTTTACCAGTCAATGCATTGAAGTCAAACCGAAATGTGCACAAAACATCACCTAGAATGTCAAGCAGTTATCCGGAAATAGCAATATACCATTCTCAGATTTAACATTGCTGCTGTACCATGTAGATACTTCTGGGTGAATTATATACACAGTGGTATAACAAACGGTATCAAGTAACAGATATACACCACTTTCTGTGATCCGTGAATTTTTAACTCAATCTATTAGAACCTTTTTCATATTCGACCTGAAAGTCTTACAATATTTGCGATCGTGTCTGCCTTTTTTTAATGTTAGTATTTTCGCAGAACGTATCATCAAAATTCAGTTTCGGGGTCCACGTTTCTGTCAAACCAATTATGGTCACGTGATTTTCGAAACTCACACTAAGGTTTACACTCAAAATCAGATAACTTTGAAAGGAGTCCTGATATATTCCAAACGACGAGTTTCACAGCATTACTTTTACATGTAGGTTCTGTCTTTATCCGAACCCTGGTCACACCCCTATCTCTTCTGTGTCGGTCTCCCACCCCTGCTGTGCTACCTCTTTCACGTACATGAGCAGACAGTTTACCGTCTTTTTGGAAATAATGTTTGCTTGAGTCTTTCTCTTTGCACTGTTTCATTTCTTGAGTGAGTGAGTGAGTGAGTTGGATCTAACGCCGCCTTTTTAACATGGCGTGTATGATGCTGACAAACCTTGAAACAAATTCGGTGCGATGGACGCTGCTCTGCAGAGCGAATTGGGACGCCTAGAACTAATGGGTTACCCACGCCCCCACATCGTGACGTAATCTATTGACCACCATTAACAAATAATAGAAACTGGAGGAATAGCTGACGATTTCGTGTAATGTTTTCAGGTTCACTCTTGAATTACTGGCATGGAACCGTCCTTACTGTGAAATCTTAAACGTTGGTTTGTAAAAATATAACGAAATCTTCTTCTAGCAAGACTCCATTCACGATGGCGGCCCCCAACGACTGCTCGCGTTCGATGTCGTCAGTGTAACATGTGATTGGGCAGTGAAGTTCTATGTGATGGTATATGTGGCGTAAGTGCGGTATGTTTGCTTGGGAATTGACCGTCAGTCGTTACTCTGATCCAAATTGCTGCTGTGTGCGCACGTACATGTCTGTTATCGAATATAAACGAATAACAACATAGTTGTTTCACCACTGGGCATGATTCTGACTTAACATAACGAAGGTCTTGCGAACGTCAACGCAAGGCAGCATGACTAATTTATGGATGGGTATTGATATGAGATGGGACCACTATGACTTTCAGAACTCTATTGTATATCATATCATGCAAGAGTCACTGGACAATACTACCGGAACTACATACAGCTACCAATAGTTGTGCCGTTTGTGCGCCACAATGGTCGACGTCTTATCGTTCAAGGCGATGCCGGTCGTGCACACGTATCGTAACTGACTACAGCAGCACAACATCACCATGAGTTCGGACCTTTCTCCCAAAGATCATGTCTGGTCCTTCCTTTTCTTTTTCATCTATTACCCTCATTCTAAATCCCTTTGTAGTTCTGTCATCATCTCCTTATCCCTTACTGTTTTGGGAGTGTAAAGCATCCCATGCTCTGAAGATATTGTTCCTCGTAAGGTGATTATGACATAAATCTGCATTAGGTTAAAAAGAAGTGGACCAGTCACAACCCTTCCAGAATGCCCCCAAAGCCGTACCACAACTACCCATTTGATGTTTAACACTAAAACACTGATCTCTCCAAATATATAAACCAGAACCATTTGACATCCAACGTATCTTTTAACCTCACACGCATCGATTCATGGTGATATGACAACTCCAAATACGGATATCTATGATAGGAAAGTCATTGTGAGTTGCTTTAGCGGATTTCTTGAAGGCTCAACTAAATAACGTATGTTTATTTTGGTATCGTTAATTCAAATTTATTTAAAAATGTTTCCATTATCTAAGCCTGTCATCTGATTTTCAGTAACTCAAGGTGAGAGAAGAGAAGAGAAGAGCCAGCTGTTATGTGCCAAGGCATCGAGGTCACATTAAACGCTATTACATCAGCACAACTGACAGGACAATCAACACGCAAGATTTAAAGACAAGTTATAATAAATGGTATGTTTGAGTTTGATGTGTTTTTTTCACTCAGGGTTTTATTTTACTTAAACATAGTTTACATTAAACATAGAGCTACTGTGGTTAAAACGCTGGCCCAGGTTTGATCCCCTCATTGGCCATGTCTGTATACCCCGTACAGATTTGGATGGAGTATTATTAAAAAAAACAAATACTAAAAATACTAAAATAGCAACGTGAACCCTCATGCTCAACACACATGTATAAAATGAGGTTAGAACTTTCAGGTGGTCACGGCAACATTACAATCATCTCAATCCTAAAGTCAACAATGACACACGAGTTGTGTGTAAGCGGGCGTTGTCCTATAATATTGCTATACAGGCTACGGCGGTCACCTTCAGGCATTAAATAAATAAACAAACACATAAAGATTAATAAAGAGATATGATCAAACTTACCCGATGCTTGCTGTGGTCAGAGCTGGGAGGCCCGCGCTTGTAACAAGGAAGTGAATTGAGCGATATCTTATCTCTCTGATACATGTATATTGAAACTGGTTTGCCAGATTAAACATCAGTGTTGAAACAGGAGCATGTAGCAACCCATAAATTCCAGCGTACATAATCACCGTGTGAGTGAAATAATGTTCATGCGTCGTAGATGTTTATCTTGCTCACATACACATAAAATAACATCAATATTGAAATGGGATTAGGTAACACTGCATGTATTCTAGCTTGATGCATATGCACATGTAGACATGCATTATGACAAATGAATATAGCATGTTAACTGAAAGACATATCAAGCTCAGCAAAGCTCAAGCATGCCAAGATGTAACTGAAATACTGTTCACAGCGGCGATAAAACCAACTCACTCATCCTACAAAATCCTGCTGAGGTGCGTCCCTTTTACGTGCGTGGATCCCAAGATCGTGGTTTCGAATGCAAGAGGTTAAAATCCTAGAAAATAATCACATCACCATTTAAGCAAGGAAGAGATATACATAAACGCTGTCATCTGACTTTGTCCAATTCAAATTTAGAATGATAAAAACGTAAGCCTAAAAGACATCAGATTACAATCTATTCAAATAGACTATACGCGCGTCAAAGTGCGACTTGAATAGGAAGGCACATACTTGAAACGAATGAAAGAGGGAGTTCAACTGGAAAGCTATTTCAAACCACACAAACAAACGCTATTCAGGACAGTATGTAAACATAACATAGCTGTCACCATTTACGCAGCGAACACAAAATGTGCAGTCAAACGCGGCAGCTACACTGCAGTAGAAAAGTGGACAGTAAAAATATAGAGTTCCCTCCGCCATTATACACATGTTAACATTTCCCCTGTAAAACATTCAAGCGATGAAACAATGTCTTCAGTTTTCTTCAACTTACTTTATTCTACGAAGTTTTCAAAGAGCGTCATAGGGATTTTGCTGAAATGTTGTTTGCTGGGGGTTCAGAATGCAATGCCTTGTATGGTTAGTTTCTTCATGTGTCCATGCGAACATTTTACTAACCTTTGCATGTGGAAATGAATACCTTGAATAAGTTATTTCTTTACTCATACTCATGTACAAATACACAGCCGAGGGATATTCCTTTGTATGGATGGATCACAACGCATAAAACATCCCCTTGCTAGGATACTGTTTAAAGAAAGTGTTATGAACTTGGGCAAGCGCCTCTGGATATGATGTATCGTAAGAAAATGGATTGTGGGGGGAAACATAAAACATGATATGAGACATGAATATGAGAGATGAGGCTAACACTTCGCGTGTTGTGGAGGTTTTTTTGCAGCCTCGCCCTTGAGACCAGGAAGTAATCTGAGTGTTGCATAAAACTGTTCGGCATCGGAATGTGCGACTGTGATGTTGTGCTGCGATACTTTGCAGTCCTTATCTGATTGAGGATGTGACATGCAGAAACTTCCTCGATGATAGCGACGAGTAACACTCTGGGTTGAAGTCGCATTTTCAAACATAAATTTTTATCATGTTTAAATGTTCTCATTTTGTATGCATTTTAACCACATTACATCAGTATTGTGACTACTGCTGCACATCTGACCATTAATGGACTAATTCACGAAGTGAGATACAGTTTTGATGCAACAGGAATATGTGATTTCAAGAGATACTTTTTATAACAGTGGTTGTAAAAGTAACTTGCTGAGACTTATTAACACTAAATATCTAAGTGAGAGACAACACTGTTAATACAACACTCAGGTATTTGTGATTTCTTGTTAGTTTGAGCCGAAGATTATTTTTCGTAACAGTGGATGCGAAAATTGGCTAAAGTAACTGGATCAGACTAATTAACAGTCAACAACTAGTTGGGGCAATTCATGAGTGTTGTTTGATGATCGATTACGTCACTTGGCCGAATTGTATCAGACAGGTATTGAAAACCAGACACTCATATTTCAGTCATTTCCTGAAAGTCATTTCATACATTCATAGTGTAACATGTATCAGTGCGATTACTTTGGTGTGGGTTTCAATGATGACATATACGTTGCTATGATCAAGTAAATTCAACAGACATCGTGAAAGTTTCCGTTTTGTCTGACCTCATGACTGAAGCAAAATCAAGCGTAGCGACAACAGTAGTTATCTGCATTTCCCAACTAATTCTTTTGGTTACATTGGAAAACATAAAACAAATAACAGCACGCAGATTGTCAGATTGTTTCTGATTACTAACATAACACATTTATGTATATATACGATCCATCCGTCAACAACATCCTCCTCTGAAAATCCCACGTAGTGTTCACGCCATTTCCTAAAAGACCGCCACCGGTAGTGATGGCATACGTAAGTAAACATTGTTGTACATAATAGGTAATTCCTTTGAGGTGAAAATTAGTAACTCGGCATCCAGCGGGTTTATTGATCTTATCTAGTTTGCATTATCATCATCGCCTTGATAATCCACAGAAATAGCGGAAACCTTTTGGTGTAGGGTCACATAAGTTATGAGTGGTAAGCGGTACGTTTGGTGACGTCAATAATGACCGTTGTATGATGTATTAATGCACCACGGTGATCATGAGAATTGACAAAATGCATTGTTTCAAAGCTACAAAGGTGCTACTTTAGGGTGTGTAAGAGACAGATTACTGCACTCGTGCCTTTCAGATGCCATTTATCTTACAACGAGCGTGGTAATCTCTATATCACAACAGTCTCCGTATGGGCGAGAAATCTAAATTGTGCTAAAGATATTCTGCATTTTCTTATATTTACATCAGTTTAATTATTTCCTGCAATTGAATTTTAAAATATCTATAATATTCACATTTGCTAGAAATATCTAGAATGGATTTCAATGTTTAAAAGTACATGTACAAATATCTTTTTTCGATATAAACATAGAATGATTCTCTAAGAAGCACTGGCTGTCCAAAATATAACCATACCCACATTTATAAAGTATACATTTATATTCGCAAGTATATCTTTTCAGCTTGGATGCTTGCATTACACCTATGTTGGTTCCATGATAGTTTACTTGAAAGTATCACACCAAGAGATTTATAGGTTTCAATTTGAAGTAAATGTCCCCGAAAGTACCACTTTTCATTATTTGACAGTGTATTTCCTCTGCTAAATACATCATTTTTGTCCCATCCAAATTAACATTTCGTTTCCACGTATCGCAGTGCTATTCGAGCTTATTTATAAAGGTTTGTATCTTTAACAATACTTGAGAACATAATTCTTTCATCTGCTAATAGTAACATGAATATTGTTTTTTTAATTACAGGTTGTAATTGTATACCATCATCATAATTTCTTTTGATTTGAGCTGCAATCTCATTGATGAAAATACCTAACAAAAAAGGGCTCAATACACATCCTTGGCGTACACTAAGATAAACACATGATTTGACTTCCTCATGAAAACTACATAACAATTTGCCCATTTCATTACTGACACCATGTAAATTAAATAGATACCATCAGTTGCCCATACACACGGAATCGAATGCTTTAGAAAAGTCTACAAATATAGCGTACAACTCTTCACGTTCACAATGAATATACCTATCTATAAGAGCCTGGAGAAAAACATATCATCAGTGGTAGTCAAAATCCTTATCAAGGGTGTCCGACTACAATTACAATAATGCTAATCAATATCTTACTGAATATACTGGTACATTGAATCCCCTATAATTTTCAACCTCTGTCACTGAGCCTTTCTTGTGAATTGGAATGGTAGGACCAAGAGTCCAATCTTTTGGAAGTAAAAGGTATCCATCATTGTGTTAAATAATATGTCCAAATACGGCAGGATGTCATGAAGAGAGTATTTAAAGAAATCCGATATTAGTCCATCAATTCCGGGACTTTTCATGTTACTCAGATTTTTAATAGCGGATTTAATTTCTTCTTTTGAGATAAAGGAATCTAATATTTGTGTTGCAAAATTGGTTTCATCACTATGAAAAGAGTCCAAATGCTAGTTGTCTGCGGAATCATCACCTTTAGGAAGATATTTAAAGTCATTAAACCACTCATGAATTTCTGTGTTACTTTTGATTTTCTTCTTTTTGCTAATGGTTTTCAAGGTCGTCTAAATTTGTTTTGATGAACTGATATTTTCTTCTAGTTTCTATCCATTAAATTTTATTTCTTTTTTTTCTGCAAATAGCTTTATATACTCTTAAACAAGAAACGCAATACGGATATTTTTGGCCATAAAAGCAAAATTAGGGGACCAAGAGGTGCGAAATGAAGAGGTTCAATGTGTTATAGTATCAGTGACAAATTTCCCAGATACAAATGATCACAAGGACATGCAAACCATAAGTCGGAAAAACGCACCCAGTGCATTAACAAAAGGGCCATGGAGCTGCATGTACTGCACGTGCAGCCGCACTATGAACGGTATTAAAGTGCAGGGGTTTTGATTGCCTGGGACCTGCGTCAATCGAACAGTGACAGTTCAACAACATGCCAAGATTAACAGAAGTGCGGGACAGGTTTTGTCCATATCCATCCAGGGCAATCTTATGGTTCAACGATACATCAACGAAATTCTCTCATCGCACGTCCCCAATCGCAACCAGCGCCAACGGTGTATTCCAGCAGGACAACGCTCAGCCGCATGCAGCACGGATCACAAGAGCCTGTCTACACAACAACGTTGATGTTCTCCCCTGGCCCTCCAGATCCCCGGATTTGAACCCGATAGAGCACCTGCGGGATAAATTGGATAGACTGCTCCGCCGACGGCAACCACAACCCCAGGCGTTGCAGCAGTTGGCTTTTGCGTTTCAGGCCGAGTGGGATACCATTCCCCAAGATGTGATTCGCATACTCATCTCTTCCCTAGGCAGGAGATGTCAGGCCGATAATGTTTTCCTCATAAAGGTTATTATGATATACATCTGCACTAAGTTAAAAAGAAGTGGCCCAGTCACAACCCTTCCAGAATGCCCTCAAAGTCGGACCACAACTACCCATTTGATGTTTAACAGAGACTCACGTATTTTTTAACTTCGCTTACACCTATTCATGGAGATATGACAACTCCATTTTCTGATATTTATAACAGGAAAATCATCATGAGTTGGATCCACTAAATAACGTATGTTTATTTTTTTATCGTTAATTCAAATTTACAAACATTAATTTTCGAAGAAAAATGTTTGTATGATTTCTATGTAAGCTTGCCAGCGGACTTTCAATAACTCAAAGTGTGAAGAGATAGCTGTTAAGTAACAAGTCATTGACGTTACTTTAAACGCTATTACGTCACATGAGCACAACTGACGGGACACAATAGAGGATTTGAAGAAAAGTGATGATAAATGGTCTGTTTGATGTTGTTTTTTTTTACTCAGGGGTTTATGTTACTTGAACATCAGTTACATTAAACATAGAGCTGTTGGATAAACGAGGGTGGTTAAAACGCTGACCCGGGTTCGA